CAGAAAGCTGCCAGAAGAAACAAGAAGTAATATTACAACATCTTTAAAGACATTGACAATAGGAAGAGACACAGAAAAACAAGCAAAGTCTTTCTAAAACATCTCTAAATTCAGAAGGAAATTCCAACCTTGAACAGGTATGCTAAAGGACATCATCAGAGGGACAGTAACTGATTCAAAGAAGATAGAAGAAAGGTGGAAGGAACATACTGACATTCTTTCAAGATGTCAACACTGAAAATATTTTAGAAAATAGTATTACTTACAAGAATATTGTACTGACAATGAGGTTAGATAAGCACCCCAGGCTCTGCCAAGTCAGAAGGCTATAAAAATGTAAACAAACATGGCAAGCAACCGAAGTAAATAAAAATTTCTCACCAAACTATGCCTGCAAATACACACCGGCCAACAGATTGGAAAAGATCAATATACCTACCAATACACTACTAAAGAAAGAGACTTAACAAAATGTCTAGCTCACTGCTCACTCCAGGAGCTTGATTCTGAGTGGCTCAAGGTTGACTCAGCCTTCCATCCTTCCAAGGTCAGTAAACTGAGAAACAGGTTGCTGGGGGCAATATGCTGACTGTAAATCGCTTAGAGAGTGCTACAAAGCACTGTGAAGCAGTATATATCTAAGTGCTATAGCTTAACAAAATGTACACATTACCACACTTCTAACAAAACAGCACATCATCCAATGTATATTAAACTCCCTACATGGGAAGGAAAATGCACACTGGATAATTGAGAAAGCCAAAGAATATAAGTATATTGAAAATATCAAGCAGTGTATTTCCAAAAACCAGGAATCTCACAGCAATACATTGTCCTCAGACGAAACCCTATACAGAGGTGTAGAAGCCACAATACAGATAAAACAGATTGGTTCCAGGTTAACAAAAAAAGTGATATAGCCTTTCATATTTAGAATGTATATATTGGAAAAAGATAGGTGTGATTTTAAAATTGGAGGAAGAAACATCAACAATCTGCCTTATGCTAATGATATTTCTCTGCTAGCTGAAAATACAAATGATCTGCAAGTTTTGATAATGAAAGTCAAGGAGCAAAGGGGTAAAATGAGACTAGGGTTAAATATAAAAAGGATAACTAAAGACAATAGATATGTACAGCAACCACTGTACAATTGACATGGAAGTGATGGATAGCCTCTGCCTTTTAGGATCAACTATCAACAGTAAAGGAACCACAAGTCAGGAAGTAAGTTGCAGACTAGATCTTGGTACAGCATAAAGGCCTTGAAAAAGTTGTGCATATACTGTGATTGTTTATACCAGGGGTGTCCAAACTTTTTGAAAGGAGGTTCAGATTTGGTAAGGTGAAAATGTGTGGGGCTGAAGGCAAATGAACTATTTTATGAAAGACTAAACAAATAACTCTGGTGGGGAGAAGAAGCTGCAGGGCGCTCGAAATTTGAAAATGGGCCGCAATTGGCTCCCGGGCCAGACTTTGGATATGCCTGGTTTATACCAACAAAGATCAGAATCAAGCTGCAATGTTCTTTCCTCTGAAGTTCTATGGAAGTTGAACTTAGAAATAGAATAGAAAATTGATACTGAACTTCTTTCTTTCTTTCTTTCTTTCTTTCTTTCTTTCTTTCTTTTTCTCTTTCTCCTTTCCTTCTTCATATTTCTTAACTACCTATGTCCCTCAAATCCTGGAATCCAACTTCTAGAATCATAAGTAAATTGATCATGTCGAAGTTCAGCTTAAATTTATTTTTCCACATCCTATAAATTTGGAAATCTGCACAATTCTCAAAACATCCAGTAAGAAGTGCATCTTAGTATCATCAATACCCCGCTGACTCTGTCCAGTGGCTTAACTTACATAGAGATACATGAAACAAGTGAAATTTTTCAAAAACTCCAAGGAATCAAGTATGTCTCTCTCAGTTATGTCTTCCAATATCATCACCATCATAAAGTGGTATATTTAGTCCCCAGCTTCTCCAAGTACATCAATTTTTTGGTGATTAATGAGTTCAACACAAAAGAGAAATCCAAGAGTATCAATAAGGTTGCCATCCCCCTTCCCGCTGTTCCAGGAGGAGAGCAGTATTTGTGTTCCAAGTCTAAATCTTAATTCAGAATATAATGAATCAATATTTCTTATAAGAATTCTAAACCAATAAACCCATCCATCAATCCTTGAGTTATTCATATCCAATGTGTTCTAACAAAGACCTGTTTCTAGTTTTCTATGGTATGGTATCTCATCTATGATATCTGAGGCATTATATACATATGCAGAATGAATGAGGTTCTGGCACAGGAGAGCAGCAAACAAGATTATCAGGGATAAAAATAAATCAATAATAATAATTAAAGACAATAAGAATCATAATACAAAAAAACCCCACTAAATCCAATGCAAGTATATCTTAACGAAAGCCAAATCTTTGCTCAGATCTACCCAAAAGTAAGTCTCCATTTAATTTTGGAGAGATACGCATCACATGATTGTAGGCCTTAAAATAATTAAATATTTCAACTAACTTGAACTTACAACCAGTAACAAATCAAAATTGTAACTCATTCCCCAAAGGGAAAATCAATGGTAATTATGTGGAAACTGTCTACATTATTTTCAAACAAAAGATAAAATTCCTTCTACAACTCTTTAAAGTCCAATAAGCATTTTTAAAAGTAGTATTTATTTAAAGAAAGCTTAAAATCCTGGATTGCCAGTCAAAATGACACTTATTTCACTTTTATACCCAATATGGTACACAAATATATTCCCATAAGAATCATGCAGAAATGAAATACTTTTGCTGTTTCTTCAGTGGCCTGACAACATTTTTGTGTTGTATTAATTACTGTAGTGGAGAATATGTAAATATAAAATTAAAGGAAAAGCATTATGTAGATAAAACAATTAGTTGTACAAGTTAGATATTTTTAGACAGCCCAGTTTCTTAAAAGACTAAAAAATCCATAAATAAGTAGCTGTATAAATTTACTTTCTCTGAAGAGGCAAAACAAAGGGAGCCTCTTTCCATTATAGTCAGCGCACTACAGTACATTTCACAGAGGATACCAAGAACAGTTAAGGAAGTCAAGGTCTTGTATAACGTTTATCTTTGGCCCATGTTGGCTGGGACTGATGGGAATTAAAATCCCAAAGGTTTGGAAGACACTAAGTTTTATATCCCTGATTATAAAACCCATCTAATCCTTACCCTTAGGAATGTATAATCTCTGCTGCAGCACAAGGGATTATGGAAGCTCCTCTAAATTTGAACTGAATAAACCTTCAGTTACAGTCCCTGGTTCCCATCTTTTTTAGATGCATATCCTGTCTTTTCTCCAGGAAGTCTGCTAGCATACACACAATTTCCTCCTAATATTTTTTTTCTGGCAACAACTCCTCCATGGGGTAGGTTGGACTTTGCAGGAGTGACTGATCCATCCAGTGGACTTAATTACAATCTTCTACACTTCACCCCACATTTCTCAATTGCTAGCATACACACAATTTCCTTCCTTTTTTTTTCTGGCAACAACTCCTCCATGGGGTAGGATGGACTTTGCAGGAGTGACTGATCCATCCAGTGGGACTTAATTACAATCTTGTACACTTCACCCCACATTTCTCAACTGCTCCCCGAGAACATTTGAGGGAGTCACTTAAGTTAACCCTGTCACAAAACACCTCTGATTCTTTTCAGAACCTAATACGAGGTTGAATAATCTCTTGACGACTTCAACTTCGGGTGCTAGTTAGAACTTACATCCAGATTGCCTCTCAATTTACACACCCAGAGCCAGAAAAAAGGGCATTTTTTTTATCCCAGTCAAATGTGACTAAAAGAGTGTGGAAATCCCTATTCTTCGGAAGCCGGGAGGAGAGACAAGAATGCAGAAGTCGCTGAAAAATCCAGCAGCCGTTAAAGGCAAAGGAAACGGTGAGGAGGAAGAAAGAGACACCACGGCTTCACACAACTCTCTCTCTCTCTGGAGTAACCGTTGCAGCGGTTCCTGCGCGTCTCGAAGGTGCAAAGCTCCTCCCCACAATGCCTTCCTCGGGCGCCCCCGAGGCTCTTTTAGAAACTCTTTCCGCGCTGCCTTGGCATCAGATTCCGCCGTCTCAGTTGAGACGGTTCAAGGCCCAGCCTAATCAGCCGCCCGGTCCTGAGAGAACCCGAGAGTTGGCACAGATATACGGGTCTGCTGCCACCAAGGAAAAGCAAGGGAGCGGGGTAGTTAAATATGGCTCGCCTCTGCCTTTACTTTCCGCCCCCTCGCGCTCTCGGGTTACCTTAGCAGCACACACACACACACACACACACACCCCAACACATACATACCACCTCCGGTGCGCGCGCGAGCCCGAGCTAAGAGTTCCCCCCACCCGAGGCGGGAGGGGGGGGTGGACGGAAAGCGAACTCTCGGAGCGTTCCTTTCGTAAATACGCGCGCAACGCACCAACACACACCAACACATACACACACACTCCCCGGCAACGCACTTCGTCCAGAGCTGCTCGCGGGGACTTTTTTTTTTTTTTTGCAAAGAAGGGCGAGCAGCAGTCTCTGCCCTGCCCCGGGTGTGTGGTGTGTGAAAGCGGGGGGCCATGTGTGTGTGGGGGGGGGTGAGCCAAGCGCGCTTGACGTTCCTGGGGACGAGAAGGGCCTGCGGAGACTGACACCGACCTCCGGGTGACGGGTCTTCTCCGCGCGCGGCCCGAAGCCCGTGCGCACCGCTGCAACCGCAATAGAGTACGAAGGGAAATGCGGCCGCGTTAAAACTGCAAAACGCGAGACCCTGGCGCCCTGTTACTGCAACAGGCGGTTAAGGGAGAGAAGGGGGGGGGGGTTAGAGACAGACCTCGCCGCGGCCTCCCAAAGTGAAATCAAGCCCCTGACTTGGAAAGCAATCAGCGGGTGGCGAAAAAGCTGGCGGGGGGGGGGGTTGCTTATTTTTCTCTCCTTTCCCGACCTGAAAGGGGGAATGTGGTTCCGTCGTTACCTTTCTCTTCGGCATGGTGTTCCCTCCTGCGGGCGGCTCAAAGCCCAAGCGGAGAAGCAGAAGCAGCCGCACGGGTTGTGCTTCGTCGCTGCACCAGCAGCCCCGGATCGCTCTTGGCAGCCTTCGGGAAAGTGCCCGCCGCCCGCGATCACCAGAGCTGGCAGGGCAGCCTCGCCGCTGGCTTGACCCCTCCCCGGGCGACAGCTGAAGCAAGGGCGGCCTCCGCCTGGCGACGCCGCTCAGCGCCCACCGCTTCGATGGGCGAGCAGGAAAGGCGGGCGGGAGGGTGGGTGGGCACGGAGAGGTGCAGCTCTCGCTCGCGATTGGCTCCCCAATTCGGTTTCTCCCCTCCCAGCCCCCGATTTGGGAATCGAACCGAAGGAGGGGAAGTCCTTGCCGTGCAGAGGCAGGACGCGCTGGGGCGAGGCGGGATCCCGTGATTGGCCAGCGGGCAGCTCTCGGATGCTGCCCAAAGGAACGCGCCGAGGTTAGAAGCGGGAGAGCCGCGGCGCGTCGGGTAGGTAGGTAGGTCGATCCGAGCGCCTCCGCTCCGAGTAGCTGCGAACCTCCCGGCGGCTTTGCGTAAAGTTGTATTTCCCCCAAACGGAGACGAAGACTACCTAAGGCCGAGTAGACTACGACGTCGCAATCTCCCGTTTTGTTCATTTATGTCCAAAGCCAAGATTGTGTCGTCATAAATTTGGATCGCTACAAATCTATCTTTATATAGTTTTCAGTTGTATAAACCAATATTGGTTTTAAAATGTTGCTGGGGTGAATAACCTGCACTGTGCTCTATCTATGAAATGTTGTTTTCTCAGTAAATCGGTCGGATGGATTTATTCCTTGCAGACATCTCATTCAACGCGTATTGGATTGGTTCTGTCTTAAAAAAAAAGATTGGACCACCATTTGCCCCAAATGGTATAGGGACTCCTGCATGAACGGGGGGGGGCGGGTGTTGACAAGAAGACTCCGAGGTCCCTTCTAAATCTTATTTTATTAAGAGGAACCATCGGTGCATTTGGTATAGTGGTGAGACAGTCGGGTCCTAAACGACTATTTTAAACTGCGTATCGTTTGCGAAGAGGAATTGCTGTTTTCATTATTGTCAATGTATTTCAGATACTGCGAGGATAAGCAGTAATAGATTACTTTGTTTATGTTAGGCAAAATAAAATTATTATGGTAAATCAGAACCATTTTTATTGATTTACCCAATAAACAAGTTAGATGGCTTTTCTAAGTAGGTGCTTATAAGCAAACGGTATCTACCTGACTTATCTGCACTCTGAAGCTAAGCAGGATCAGGCCAGATGGGCATTTCAGTGGAAGGTGCAAGCTAGACTGAGAATTTAAAACAAAAATGGAAGAGGCAAACAACTTCCACATGGCTATCAAGAAATTCAAGAAAACGGTGTAAGTTCTTGAATATTTTTTCAAGGGAGAATAGGCAGCAAAACAGCACACCATTATAGTCCTTCCATTATAAGACTAGGTATAGTAATTTAGTCCTGTGTCCCCCTTTTATTTGCAATTTGCATGTATATAATGTTTTCCTGCTTTATATGTTAAAGTTTCTGGTTTTATATATATTATATACATATGCAAATATTTGAACATCTTAGTATAAATCTGGTGCTAATAATAATTATTAGTGTTGTAAGAGATCAATCAATACAGTTTACCTCCAATACATCACTTGATGGAGGAGTTAAACTCATTAAATTACAGACTTTGCAGGCCTAAAGTAAAAAGAAGCTATGGTTTGTTTCATTTTTGCATATATTCCTGTCCTACGTAGCTCTGCAACAACACCACAGAAATTAATAATGGAACTAGAACTTCCTCCTGTCTTCCAATGGAGCTGCCAATATTCCCTCTGCCTTTTCATAGAATTCTTCTGGTACCAAAGGTACCTTACTGGGTAACGAATTTATTGTTACATAAACTTTGTGAGTTGAATGCTTTTTCATGGAATGCAGTAAATGATAGTCTCAATTAACACTTTTGGAGATGCTGCAAAAAGCTGCAATGTCTCTGCTTGTTCCAGTTGACATTCGGTTCATTCCTCTTGAAGGATCTTGTGATTTTAACCCCATTTTATTCCATAATGAAGGTATTGTCCTATTACAGTTGATAGCATTTAGTTATAAGCACTGGTTCCACCACAAAACCGCGGACGACAAAATCGCGCTCGACGAAAGCGCGTACGTGACGTCATCATAGCGTGACGAAAACATCGCGCTGTGATCGATAAATGTAAAAATAAAGCGAAAACCTTACCCTAACCCCCCCCCCAAACCTAACCCTAAACCTAACCCTAAACCTAACCCTTAACCTAACGCTAACCCTTAACCTAACGCTAAACC